TATGTTGAAAACTTTTTTCTTGATAAATAAAAATTTGGCATAAAAACGCATAATATTTTTAAGCAATTTTTTTTGACAATGATTTATGTTTTTATCACGAAATTTATTCTATTTATTATTATATTTATGAAAGCTATTCTCAATGAAAAGATTTAATACTAAGGGGCATCCATAAAGTATGTACACAGTTAAGGAGAGGGAGGAACTTTCAAATGAGTATAAAATGCATAACGTTTTATGTGTTAAGGTGAGTTTCCACTCATCTGTTTTTTCACGGGAACAGAATAGGAAAGGGAAAAATAATCACGTGAGCATGCCTAGTTTTCCTTCAGACATATTAAAACTTATACTGCACATGCCCACGTGATTATTTTTCCCGTCCCTTTCCCGTTCCCATGAAAAAACGGATGAGTGGAAACTCGCCTTTATGCATAATCACATCAAATGTGTTAGCACATAACACATTTGATGTGAAAGGTTTCATGCATAATGTGTTATGCATTTTGCATAAGGCATAATATTTTTATCCTTACAATGGTTTAATTTTTTAAGTTTCGCTAAAATGTTGGAAAACGTTTTTTAATACAAAAATTAACATAAAAAATGTAGAAATGTTGTTACGTACAAATATAAAAACTAATATATTTAGTAGTATAATACATATGTAGAAAGTTACCTTTAAAATTTTCTTCTGGTTGTATAAACTATTTATTATTTATTTAATAAATATTTATTTTTTTATTATTATTCTTATTTAATAAATATTTATTATTTATTTAATAAATTATTATTTATTTAATAAAATTATTTGTTTGCATATTGAGTAATAAAACAACCTCTGGTTTTGTAAATTTGTAGTTTAAAAACCAAACCGCTAAGCACCCTTTTCTAGATGATGTCATAAGATGATGTCATAGGTCTATGCAATCGGAATGAACTCAATCTAGAGAGCAAAACAAAAAGTAAAAATTGTGTTAAGAAATATAATTCCTAAAAAAGATCTTCAAAAGTTAAGTTATGCAATTGAGTTCTGGAACTCATTGGAGCAAAAGAAAATATTCAAAGAAATTCTTGAAATAAATATTCCAAAATAAAAACTTATTTCTTGTCAAAAATGTAACTTTATAATAATTTACCTTGTATTATATACAGCAGGTGATTAAATAAATATATATATATATATATATATATATATATATATATATATATATATATATATATATATATATATATATATATATATATATATATAAATTTTATTATTATTATTATTTTTTTTTTTTTGACCATTGCACAATGGGTCAGATATCGAAAAAGCTGGTCAAAATATGAAAATGTTGAATGATTTGTCTGAAATTTCATGACAAATATGTTTTGAGGTTACTGATTAAGAATTGGCTGAAAAAAAAAAAAGAAAAAAAAATGGTGGTTCCAATATGGCGGATATATATGTTAAAAAATTGTTAAAATTGTTCATAAATGGGTTTTAAGGGTTCTTTTCAGGCCACAAATTAAGAATTTGACAAAAAAATGTTTAAAAAAATTAAAAAACAAAATTGTGGATCCGATGTGTCCCTAAATGCTAAAAAATGGATTAAATGATGGAAGATGGTGTTAAATATAGAAAAAATATTTTGCTTCAGTTACAATCATTTCGGTGCTTTTTCATCTTTATCTGTCTCTTTTTTGAAATCTTCATTATATTCAAAGTCTATTTCCTCGGCATCTGCGTCATAGTCTTCATAATCTTCTGTTACAGGAACCAAGACGGCAACAGCGTCTTGCAACAAACCCTTCAATTTTTTTGGTGTTGATTTTTGTAGAAATGAAATGTGGGGTCTGTGGTTGCCAACAATCTCCTGAACACGTCTTCCATAGTCTTAAATCTTGAAAACTTTCGAGAAAAACCCAAACAATATTTCTTTATTTAATTATTGGGTTGATTCTTGAGCATTCTCGGATAGTTGACCAATGAGTAAAATGGCCGAAGAAATTATGTCTGTTCCGTGGATCAGCAATCTATGTACTGATGCTGGCATGTTGTATTAGGGATATTCTTTGATATAGTGTCTTGCAGTTGCTAAGGCGTAACCTCAAAACCTTTCAATGTCAATTTCATGTCCACTCAAAATTGTTTGCAAAATTATATTAAAATGGTGGATTAATTCTTTGGAAACACCGATTATCAAGGATGACATTTGAGTGTTTTCAAAGAAACGTCGAGCTGTGTTTCCGTTGTTCGTGTTGCCCAATCCTTGCTTTGGCATTTGATTTGGTAAAATTTAAGGTGTTGTCTGAAGAGTAGCAACAATTTTTTGCTACCGATACAGCTGAGTATGGTGGATAAAATGTATTTAAGCCTTTTTTTTGCCTGATTTCTCAAATGCTGGTACAAATCTTTCGTCAAATTTAGGTCTAATAGAAGTGCTAGAGTTTCATTTGCATCATAAAAGGCTGACAATGATAATGACAGTTGTAAGCCTTCCTTGTATTTTGTTGCCTTAAATAGACTTGACAGTGTAAAGTCATTCACAATCTTAGCAGCATCTAAATGCCCTTAAGATCAAAGACTTGTTCACGTATTGAACGATAATCCGATAGGACTGAACTTCGTATGTATTCTTCGTATCTCTTTAGTCCCCCTTCTTTTGGACTTATCAGATAAAGTTTTGAAATTTCTGGTGGTCCAACCTGTTGATTTATTTACAGTTGCACGTTTTGCATCAATCTGAAAATATACTAAAGTTTTTAACCAGTTTTCATTCTTTTTAAAAAAGTAATCTTGTCGTTGAGCTGCTTCCTTATACTTGCTTCTAAACTTTGTCATTAAAACAGAAAGGTCTCAGAAATAGTAGGTCTCAGAAATAATAGGTATTTATTTATTTATTAACTCATTTATTAAATACTTGAAAGCATTAAAAAACATCTGCACAGAGTTTGCGTTTTGATTTTTATGTAATTTTTTCTTAATTTAATAATGAAGTTAGTAACTTTTTTAATAAAAAATATTTTTCAATATTAATAATGCCATTAAAAATATAACCAATTATTCAGTTTAAAATATGAAACAAGAAAAAAAAAAAGGAGTGTAATCATATCTTGAAGATTGGAAAATAGTAATCACTGTGTGGCGGTGCGTGGCGATCACTGTCTTTTTCTAAGTTATTCATCTCATTGTGTAGGAGAAAGTGTTGTTCCGTTCATTTTCTACTTTTAATATTCTTTATAACACTTCTAGGCATCGATTATAATTAAAATTGAACAAATGTAGCTCATAATTAAATAATATTACTTTCATTTTTCAAGATGTTTCAATAACGGCATTTTGCAACTGTCATATAAAACATGGCTTAAAGTGGAGTTGGTACTAGTAGGTGAATTTGAATGTTAAGTTACGAAAATAATACTACATATACGAACAAACACAATGTAAATGAATATGGAATGTCGTGGAATTAGTAACTTATTTTTATTTTTAAAGCAAATTTTACAACTTTATAAAATATTTTTCTGTATTAAGTTAAAAAAAAAACATTTATAATTAATGACTTAATAATTATATTTTTGTTTTGTAATTAGCAGGGGTGTGGAGTCGTAAAAAAAAAGTAACGACTCCAACTCCAGTTGTTAAAAAATTTTTGAGTACAACTCTGACTCCGACTACAACACTAACTCCAAAGCAAAATATTTGAAAAATTCTTTGAATTCTTTAAAAAATATTATGCGACAAGTTTAAAAAAAGTTTTTTGACAAATTTATGAAACATTCTTTGAGGTTTAATATAAATATAAGGTTAATTGAATGTTTTATACATGCACGTGCAATACCGAGAAGTTTTATTATTAATAACCAAACTCTGTTTTCCAGCTTGAAAACAGAGTTTGGTTATTGAGTATTGCTTATTAATAGATACCTATATTCATTTTTTATATAATTAGTTCACAAATATTGTTTGTTGTCTAAAAATTAAATAATATTTGAGACAAGATAAAACTCAGATAAAGATATCCTTTTTTTTTACAATTTAAAAATATCATATTTAAAAAAAAATATATTAGTTGCCTACTTAAAGTTATTTTTACGTTATTTTTGTCTTTATTGGAAAGTCTGAATATACAGATACCTTAAACAAATTAAAATATTGATTTAAGCAATTCTTTTATTAAAAACTATCAAACTACAATACTTTAAATCTGGTGTTATAAAGAAAAGATTTTTTTCATAATTCTTGTAATATAAATTCAGACATTAGAAGGTATACTTTATTATTATTTCAAGTATTTCAATTTATAAAAATGGCATTTTTGAATAAAATTTACTAAATATATTATATGTACTAAAATATTATATGTAAGTATTATTCAAACTTTAATTGTTCATTCAATATATACAAAATACAGAATATTGTGTAACATAATCAAGAATGTAAGAATATTTACGCAACATAATCAAAAATGATGTATTCAGATTAAAATCAAGTCTTTATATTAAACATTTAATTTCAAAAAATTTTGATTTATTTTCTTCAATGAAAAAATTGAATTCATATGTTTGAAAAAAAATATTAGGTGATGCTAAATTACTTAATGCCAATCTTTAATCAAACTATTCTGTTTACTTTTTGGAAAGAGAGAGTCGCTTACCTAGCTTTTATTTATATTAGCAAATTAGTTATGCAATATCAATTATTTGTCATAAAGAAGTACTATTTTAAAAAAATGTTATTTGTTCTCTTATGTAAATAAGAGCTAGGTGAGTGACCCTCCTATCCTCCTGCGTTACAAGGGGGGGGGGGGAGTGAGAGACCCTCCTTAAAAAAAAACTGAGTAATAAGCATTGGCATTAAGTAATTTAGCATCGGCTAATTTTTTTTGAAACTATGCCAAGTACCATATCTAACCTTTGTGCAAAAACAACAAAGTTTAGATATGTTTGCCAAAAATCCACTGCTTCTTATATTTTCAATTACAATTAATTCTGAAATATTTTTTTTTTATTAGGACCCTATTAGGCATCCATTGGTTCGACAGTTAGTTAGACAGAAATGGAACAATTATGGAAGTACCTCTATAATGTATGTTTGTTTTGTTAAGCTAGTATTTATGTATTTTAAGTATTTCAACATTTAAATGAAAAAAGTAGTGGATTTATATTGTGATATCCCGGAGATCATCCCAAAAGCCTTATCGAAAGTTTAGTATACCAGTATACCAATGATCACAGTATACCAATGATCACAGTATACCAATGATCGCAATATACCAATGATCACAGTATACTAATGATCACAGTATACCAATGATCACAGTATACCAATGATCACAGTATACCAATGATCACAGTATACCAATGATCACAGTATACCTTTGATCACAGTATACCAATGATCACAGTATACCAATGATCACAGTATACCAATGATCACAGTATACCAATGATCACAGTATACCAATGATCACAGTATACCAATGATCACAGTATACCAATGATCACAGTATACCAATGATCACAGTATACCAATGATCACAGTATACCAATGATCACAGTATACCAATGATCACAGTATACCAATGATCACAGTATACCAATGATCACAGTATACCAATGATCACAGTATACCAATGATCACAGTATACCAATGATCACAGTATACCAATGATCACAGTATCTTTTAGATACTGTGATCATTGGTATACTCTGATCTTTTTGAGCTTGAAGCAAAACAAAACAATGAACTTGAAATATGCTGTAATTGTATTACAGATTTAAAAAATTTTAATTATTTTGAATTTATATTCAACAAATTGTTAATAGTTCATAAATAATTTATAATTTATTTTTTTGCTTACTTTTTAGGATGAAGTTTGCTGTTTATTTGCTTTTTCTACTTTTTATGTCATTTGCATTCATTTTACACGCTAGTTCAATAAATCCGTTTGATAACATCTCTAAGCTTGATAAGTTCAGAAATGTTTCTCAAGTTATCGTTGCATTGCTAACAATTGTATACTTATTCTCTGCAATTTCTGAGTTTTGCAAGTAAGAAATCATATATAAACATTGATCAAAACATATATAAACATTGATCAAAACATATATAAATATTCATCTCACTAATTTGTAAGTTTAAACTGTGAAAAAACATTTCAAATATTTTTTTATTTGCATTTAAACAATTGTGGCACAACTGATATTTAAAAATTTATGAAAAGATTTTTACATTTAGAGATCCATTTGTCTACATGAAAAGTTATTACTATATGGTTCATTCTATTGGATTGCTTCTTGTAATTGTGTTAATACCCTTGCATTTTTATACTGATCCAAGTGTTACTAGAGCTGTAGGAAGTGTGGCATACTTTATTAATTTTATTTGTGTGTTTCAATACTTCTTGACATCTGAGTATGTTTTTTTTTTCCTAAGTTATTTATAACAATACTACAAAAGTATATTTATTATAGGTGTATGTTTTTAAATATTTATTATAAATTTGTTTTTATAAATATTTATTATAAATGCATTTTATTATAAATGTTTATTATTATTATTTTCTATCAGTTTTTACTTAAAAAAATTCACTTTAAAAAATGTTCTTACAGGTCTTACGGTATATACACAAAAACATTTGCAATGATTATCTATACAGATATCAAGAAATTTTCAGTTGTTTTTTGCGTGGTGCTTTTTGCATTTTCTGGAAGTATTTTCTTGGCTATTAGTGCTTCTACTGCATTTGATGTCAACAACACAAGGTATAAAAAAATTGAAAATTTAAATGAAATATTGTAAGCTATTGTATCCATGCAATCTCTTTTTTATTTATAGAACGTACTGGTCTGTGCTTTTAAAGGGCATGCGAGCTATTTCAGAGGGAAAGGAGTTTGCAGATGATTATAGTGGCTATCAGTAAGGAACCATAAAAAAAATTTATTTGTCAAAACATTCCAGTGAGCGCAAGACATGTTTAAGAAATTAAAAAAAATGAAGTAATACATATTAATTTGTATTTTATGTCTTAAACATGTCTTGTGCTTATTGGGATGATATCCACATGATAAGCCTAAAATAATTATGTCTTTGCTGTTAGTTTTAAACTTTTTTACTTTTTAAATTTTTTTCTTATTTTAGCATTTTGCTTTTGTTTTTGATTCTGTCTAGTATGTTTGCCATTATAGTTATTATGGCAAACATACTAATTGGTCAGTTAAGTTTTCGTTTCGAGATGGCACAGCAAGATGCAACAATACAACTCGACATAGATAAAGCAAAGATGATAACTCATATTGAGAGAAGCTGGTTTAAAACACATGTAAATAATTTCAATTTTTTTTTCTTAATATCACTATAATTAAAATGGAGTAGTGCTGTGCAGAGTTTGTAAATAAAACAAAAATGTCATGTTAAAAAAGTTGTGATGTTTCATAGAAGATTTGTGTCATCGGCAAAAAGTTTACAGTTTAATTTTATTGTAATAGAGATATATTAGTGGGTTTATAATAGTAGAGATAATAGCAGGTCTGTGGCACTAGTCTTTGAGGCACTCCAGTCACAACCTCTTACCATTTTTTGTTTAAAACCAATTGAATTTTAACAGTAATATATTGTGACCAACTGAATCAAATGCTTTGAATAAATCAGGAAATAAGATATTTGTCTCCAAACACTTTTCTATTAAACTTGTGGCCAAATCTAGAATTTCATCACAATAAGTAAATAATATAGTTTTATATAATTATATATTATAATCTTTTATAAAATTAATTTTTTTTTAAATTTTAAAACATCATTAAACTTTTTAACAAGAGTTTCTTATGAGTCTTTAAGTTTTAATACCTACCAATTACATTTAATGCTATCAAAAAACAATTTAACATTTAAAAGTGCATCAAAAAACAAGTAGAAAACTTAATAAGAATAACTATAAACAAATAAAAGCTTAAGCTTTTCTTATAAAAAATAAGAAAGTTTTAAGAATTTAATTGTATATTGGTGAGTTAATTGCTTTTGATACATATTGAATTTTACACAAGATTCATAAAATTGACTGCAAAAATAATAATCGTACAGTTCAAAAATAATGTAATTGATCAAACTTCATGGCAATTAGTATTGAGTAGGGTCTCCTTTGGCCTTGATGGTCTCAGCTAGACGATTTTGGCATTGAGTTGACCAAATTTTGAGTCTCTTCTGTTATTATATTATCCCATGCGTTCATTATAGCTTCTTTTCAGTTGTATTTTCGTCTAAATGCTCGGTCACCAATTTTTCTGTCCAAAATATACCACAAATTTTCGATAGGATTCAAGTCCGAACTTTGAGATGGCCATTCCAAAACATTGATGTTATTTGTGTCAAAGTATACCTTCGTTTTCTTAGCGGTATGTTTTGGATCGTTATCCTGCTGCAGTATAAAATTGTTTCCCATTCTCAATTTTTAGTAGATAGTCGCAAGTTGGCTTTAAGAATTTCACAATACATTGAAGCATTCATTTTTTCATCAATAAATGTCAATTTCCCCACTCCTTTCCAACTCATACTACCCCAAAGCATCACATTTCCTCCTCCATGCTTTAAACTACTTCGCTTATAATCTTACTTATTTATAAGCTTCTTTTTTTCGCCATCCTTTTTGAACTTCATCCAATGAAACAAGGTTGTATTTGGACTCATCTGACCACAAAATTTTTTTTCAATAAGATATCGGCATTTTTTCGTACTTCTTTGCAAATTCTGATCGACGTTTCATTTCTTTTGAAGTTAAAAAAGGTTTTTTACAAACTACTCTACCTCTATATGCTTGTTCTCTAATACGATTTCTAAATTTACTGATAATAACAAAACATTTTTATATGCGCATTTATTCATTCTTATATGCGCATTTATTTATTTTTATATGCGCATTTATTCATTCTTATATGCGCATTTACTGATGAAATAAAGCTTGAAGATGTTAACTTTAAAGCTATAAAAGGAGTAAAAAAATGCAGATCAATTTTTATGGGGTTACTGTGATATTGTGATCTTGAACTTTTAAAGCTAATTTAGCTGCCAAAACAAATCTTTTTTTTTCACATTAATGATGATATTGCGATAAATTGCACAAGTGGTCTTGCGTTTTCGTTCTCTGCCAGCCACACTAGCAATGGTTCCAATCAGATTATGCTTCTTAACAATTGAGGAAACTGTCGTAAAAGGAATTCCTGTTTCTTTTTGGATCTGACGGTATTTTCCTTGATTTTTTAAATTAACTACGAGGCTTCATTGATGGAGAGACAAATATTGTTTCCTTGACGCCATTTTGCTGAAACACTATATTTTATTTCTAGAACGAAAGTGTATTTAAAAAATTTATTTTCAATTTTACTTGTTTAATCGTTCAATTTTAACTGGTTTAATCATTCAATTCGCTCAATTTATGCTAAAATAACGACCTTATTTGTCAGCGTACAATTATTTTTTTTGCAGTCAATTTTATCCGTCATTAGATCAATTGTGTAAAATTCAATAGGTATGAAAAGCAATTAACTCATCCATACACAAATAAATTCTTAAAACAATTCATGAGAAGATATTTGAAAAAAAGTTTCAAATATTTTAACAGAAAACTAATTTTTTTGATCCAATCTTTAAAATTACGATTTTTTTTCAAGTGTACAATTTTTTTTTTTGCATACTATATATATATATATATATATATATATATATATATATATATATATATATATATATATATATATATATATATATATATATATATATATATATATATATATATATATATATATGTATATATATATATATATATATATATATATATATATATATATATATATATATATAATAGCTTTTTAAAAAAAAAAAAAATTTTTGTTGTTGAGATTGCTGATTGATTTAATGTCGGATTTTGTTGTTATTCTGTTTTTGTTTTTTGTTAGCCAGAGCTGATAAAGCATGATAAAAATCATACACGTCTAAAAATTTGTTGTTAAAAAAAGTGGCATGAGTTTTTTCTAAAAGTACCAATTTTTTTTTTAGAACAAACGTATAAAGTATTACAAAGATGGTATTTTTGTGAGTCGCATAGATATGTTTAATGGTAGGGATTTTAATGTTACATTTTCTTATAATATAATCAGTAAGATTTTTTAATGCAGTTTTTTTCTCATAGATTTGTTACAAGATTGGGATTTGTTGCAATCAGAAGGAGATGATAAAACAAAATCAGTTATTCAGTATGTTTTTATATCTTTTATAAATTATTAGATATAAAGGCAATCACACAGAAATTAATAGACTAAAAAATGTTTTATCCGACAGAAAAAATATTCTTTTTCAAAAAAGAAAAAAGTGTTCTAAAAGAACTGCTGTTAGCATCAGATTGTTTTTTAATTTTTTAACATTTATTAAAGAAACATTTTATAGATTTTAAAGCAAAAAAAAAAAATTTAATTCTAAAGAGATATGCTTAAATAAAATTATTTTCAAATTTTTTTCGGATTTTTAACTAATGCCTAAAATTATATAGAACCATCAAAGAAATTTGTTGATTATATTCAAAAAAAATCCAAGTTTACTCTTTTAAACCCTTGCTATGTGGATATATTTATTATCTAAAACTAATTAAGGATTTTTCATAAATTGCATTACTCAACCCTTTTAACCCCTCAACCTTTTTAACCCCTCCCCCACTTGTCACAACATTGAAACTCTCGTAACAAGTCCCTTGTAAGTAATCACAAACTACTAACAAACCCCTCTCTCTCCATATCCTCTCCCAACCCCGCCCCGGCATTTCCCACACAGCTTGACAAAATTTATGGAGGACTCCTCTAGAGAAAATTTAGTTTTAATAAGTTAAACTTTTTCATAATAGCAATTTTTCAGGTTTTGATTTATTTTTTTGTTAAAAATCTCATAAATATTTTTTAGAATTTTTTTTCTTTTTATAAAATAAGACCTGTTTAATAAATGTTAAAATTAAACTTAAAAATCGATCAATTTATTAGCTTTTGTAACAATAAAAGTTTTTGGGCAGGTTCAGAATTTGCCTTATAAGATAAAAATACACCCATTTTTTAAAAAATTGCTTGGTTATATCAGATAAGTTTTATTACTGCACTTTTATAATAAAATATAACAAAAAAAAAAGGTCATTTAATAAGAAAATTTAAAATCCGTGGATCACACCATTTTTCTAAAAGACCATAATTCAGTGAAAAATTATAATAAGAAATTTGTATATAATATGAAATCATTTTTTCAAGCTTTTACTGATTAAGCAACATGTTTTTTTTTTTGAATATTTCTGTTGATCCTTGTTGATCAACAAAACACTCATACAAATATTACAAAAAAAGCTTTTTTGATTTATTTTGCATTTTTATAGAGAAAAAAAAATTGAAAAAAGGAATAAAATAAATTTTTATTATTTCTTATTTATTACAAGTTTGAAATTTGGCACAAAATTTTAAAAGGACATTTTTAGAAAAATTTGTAGGTTATATAAACCTCTCCGAATTTATTTTTTTGTAAACCTTACATTACATATTGCTTAAAAGGCAATCAAATAAAAAAAATCCAATTGATGGCAAATTCTTTTGATTATTAATGGGTAAATTTGGATCAAATTTAATATTTAAGGGTTTCAATTTTTCTTTTTTTAATTAGTAAGTTTGTAAAGAATTTTGAATTGTATTAAATATAAATAATTAATTTTTTTTTTCAAGATTTTTTGGAAATTTTATCCAATTGAAAAAAAAAACTATTTCATTTATGGTTAATAAAATATCCAAGTTGATAAGTAATTAAAAAAACGCTTAATTACAAAAAGCAGCTAATGATAGCAGTTAAAACAACTAATTAAAAAAAATTATTATTGTGATGTTGTTGACTTTGTTAAAAGGTTCTGGTAATTGAATTGAATTATTACTTGGCACTTTTTAGTGCAATAAATTTTTTACATATCGTTTTAAGTTTGTTTGACAAAGTCGAATCTTGCATTTTAAATTGATACTAATTACTATTTTAACTTAGTGAAGCTTTGCCCAAATTTTTACAGCATATTTTTAACCTTGAATTATTTTGCTGTTGTTGTTATTGTTGTTGTTGGAGTCGTTATTTTGCTTGTTATCAAAGTTAAGCTTGCTTAACTTTGATGACAAGCTTTTTTGCTGTCATCATTCAATCTTTTGAGTATTTTAAGTTTATTGAGACACTTTAATTCAAACCTTGGCATTTATTCATTTTTACTACATTTTTTTTGTTTTTTGTAAATTTTCAAATTTAAAGCAATTGTCACAAAGGTGTGACAAACAATTGGGAAGATTAAGTTTGTTTTCCAACTTCTTTTTAAGTTTCCTTTTAAATAACTGGAGTTATACAATATATTAGGTTGGTTGCAGATAAGTTAAGAGTTGATACTATATGATGTATGCTGATGCTAGAACTTTTCATTAATATGATCTCTTGATTCCACTAGTTGCGTTCTACCTGATATAGCCAACAATTAGGTTGATCCATTGCTTGACATTTGTATCACTCCAGCTTCTGCATCTAAAGTGATTTCCTGCTAGACTCTTCTACAGCTTGTGGTCTGTACAACATACCTGTTATAGTCTTGCAGAAGTTTAACATGCTGGTCTTATCCATAAGCTTTTTTCTTACTGTGTATCAGGTAACATCTTTAAGATTATTGAATCCTTCCTTACCAATCGTAATATTAAAGTTGTCCTCGATGGACAGCACTCCTTCATATCTCCTGTCACTTCAGGAGTTCCTCAAGGTTCTATCCTTAGCCCTATTCTTTTTTTTTTAATTTACATTAATGATTTTCCAGATATTCTCACATCTAAGGTGGCATTTTTCACTGATAATACTATCGTTTATACTTGTCTTGATAAGAAGCCGACACTCTGATTGCTTGAAGAGGGCATTTGAGCTTGAAGAGGATCTCACTTCTGCTACAGCATGGGGCTCACAGTTGCTGGTGAACTTTAACTCATAAAACTCAGTTTTTTTCAGCTAATTATTATCGCAATAATCTAGATCTTTCTATATTTATGAATGGTAATGTACTCGATGAGTCATTTACCCTTCATCTTCTAGGATTAACTCTTCCGATCTTTCTTGGAAACCATATATCAAATCAATTACAAAATAACCATCTGCTAAGGTAGCATCTTTTTATTGTCCTTTTTATTTTGAACAAGGTGCAAAAATGCATTGTAAACTAAAAATTCTTATTTGTCCAACTTTTTTCCTCGAACATCAATTCTTTAAAATTCCCTTCCTTTATCTTTTTTTCCTTGTTCATATAATTTGCAATATTTTAAGTCGCCTGTCAATCATTATCTTGCTCTACAGATTTCATATTTTCTCTTCCAGTAACTTCCAACTTTAATAGTGGTTGGTTGCAGCCTTGTTGGTAGTGAAGATGTTGAAAAAAAAAAAAAAAAGCATGTTGTTAGAGTAGATTCAGAAGGCATTAGTTGAAATGTAATATAATAAAAGCTTTAACTATAGTGGTCATAGTATAAAGTGTCAGATACCACAATCATCCTTTCAGAACATGTTGCATATACAGTATCGTCTAGACCACTTAAATCTTTGTACAGACATTTTTTTAATTGAAAATAATGTATGGCACTAGAGAATTACCAGCAGCATTAATGCGATTTTCAACAGTATAATTGATTTTTTAATTGTTGAAAGCCAACTTTAATGGTAGCTCATTACCAGATCTTCAAACTATGTTTTTCCTAGATCACCAGAACCAATTTCATTAAGATTTTACAAAAAATGCAAAGAATTTTTGTTAAAATCTGCTTAGTTAAATTTTGTTTGCAGTGAAAAGCCTAATAAAATATTATTATAATACAATCTCTACTTGCTGTGCCATTGGAAAACAGATGAGATTGACCTTGACGTTGCAAATAGTTGTTAACTAGTTTGGTGACATTATTGAAAGTTTTACTAAAGCCCATATAAGGTAATGTGATGATCATATATACCAGAGTTGATTCATATTGTTGTGGCATTCCTGTGCTTGAGGTAATTGTTTTCATCTATACTGTGGTAAAGAGTTGCTACGGATATGTTGAATGAGTCATCAGCTTTGTTGAGTGGAAATTTGCTGGTTTGTACTTTGGCCGCTGCTACAGCAACTTGCTTTTTGGTGTATGGTTTTTACTTTTATTTTGCCTGCAAGTTTTTTTGAGGCGTACATTAGAACAGATTGTTAATGATGAATTTAAAATAAATACAAAGAATTTATCAAGATTTATTGGTTTGTGTAGATATAATTAATTAATAAAAAAACCCATTTACCAAGTTAAAAGCTGTTGCATTTGAACTCCAAAGTTCACTGTTGCTATTGTTAATAGAAGTAGCAAAAGTTTTGAAAAAAAATTATTCAAGATTATAAGTTCACTAATAGTAAATTACACATCCGAAAGATTTATCCCTTTTCTTTTTTTTTAAATGTTACACATCTCCTAATTTGTCATTTTATCATAATTTTTTTTTTTTTAATTAAAATTTAATTTTAAAAAAGATAGTTTACAACATGATGTAAAATTATTTCAAGTTATTTAACATTTTAGATAATTCAACAATTAATTAAGCACAAAAGTACAAAAATTCTCATATTTTTATCCTTTTATTTCATTCTACCTTGTTTTACTTTTTTGTAATTGTTTTTTCTTTTCTTTTTTTAATTTACTTTTTTTTTTATCTTAAAAAAGTTATATCATGTTTAAAAAATTATATTTAAAATCATTGCATTTATATTAGTTGCATCATCATAAGAAATAAAGTCAAATAAAGTCAAAAGTTTTTAAATTTCCCTTTTTTAAATTGCACTTTTAAAATTATTAATCAAAAATTTAAAATAAACAGCATGCTATAAAGAAAGAAAGAAAAAAACAATTTTTTTTTTCTTTTTAAAAAGTATTAACTTTTATACAATTTCTAAAAAGCATTAATTCTAAAAACATTTAAATTTTAGGTTTTTTTTCTAACCTTGTAAATTATTATCTGCTTATCAAATGTTACAAAAAAATATATATATTTGGTTAGTTTTGTTGCTTTTACAGCAAGTCGTAAGTTTTTGTAAGACAAAAAAAGTTTAGTTTTTCATTTGAGATTTATTTTACTGAAGTGATTGTGAATAATTATTTAAAATTTAAGTAATCACTGTGGACTAGAAAGCCCTTCATGTTTGGTGAAAACTCCATCAAACACAGTGGGCTTTTATAATAAACCTTATGAAAGCACTTTTATGAAAACCATGTTTGATGGAGTGTTACTCCATAAAACATAGTGGGCTTTTTTCACTAGGTTTTTTTTGATGATAATGCATTGTTTTCGTTTATTAACATGTTTTTAATTAACATGATTTTAAAAAGTTGAAAATGATTTTGTTTGCTGGGACAGTAAAATTCGCTGTCGGACTCTCCAATCAAACTAAAATTTTAAATCACATAAAAAAAGTTATTGTTGCGAATTTACTATACTAGACATTAAGTTGCACTAATTCTTGTTTCTCCAGCCTTGTTTACAAGGTTCGTGTTTCAGAGTTATAGAGTTGAGAGAGGGTAATAACCACAACTAAGTAGCCTCCTCGTCTGTAGTGGCTTTCTTGGCTTTAGGGAGATGAGTTAACAATAAAAAAAAAATCAATTAACTACAACATTTAAGAGTGCTCCTCTGTTAATAAATTATTTTTTTAAATTGTCTGGTATAAAATTGTATAATATTAAATATATATATAATAGTTGAGACAGTTTTATATGTAATTTGGCTTTTTGTTATAATGTTATGTAAAAAAACAGTCATAGTGGTCTTAAACTGAAATGTACATTTGAGTTTATTTAAAATTTGAATGTTAAAATCTCTTTGCATAATTATTTTTTAATTTATAGTAAACTATAAAAATTAGACTATAAAAATATTTACAAAAAAAGAGTAAAATGTGTCTGCATGACATTTAATACATATCATACGTAAATGTTTGTATATTTATGACATAAAAACTCTGAAATATTTAATGTCATAAATATACAAACATTTACGTTTTTTTTACAAAAGATGTTCTTCTGATTTATGTTTGGGTGTCACCATTTCAAAATTTACTGAACCAAAAATACTTGAATATATATGCAGTAGTTGTTTTTTTGTTACTGGAATTTTTTTCATCAGTGTACATAAGCTGTTGCTGTAGAATTAATTGGTCGTTGATTTCAAAATAAATAGCTAGTGCTGTATTTTAAAAAAAGATGGAGATTGAGTGTATTGATTATTTTTTTAATTAAAAACCTTTTGATAATTCTATTAAAGTTAGAGCTGCCAAGAGTGTAATAGAAGTAGTAAACATATTTTTCTTGAAACATTTATGGAACTGCGTGTTTCCCTTGAACTTTTTGACAGCGCAATAAAAAAAACTTTGTTCTACAATCATAACCGGATTAAATGGAGTTTTTAAACGAGGATCACTTAAAAGAATTTTTACTTGTTTTACTGTTTCTTTTACTATATGAAACGACAAAAAAAAATTTCCTAGTTTTCAGAATTAATTGCATAAATTCAATTATATCTGATAATATTACAATACAATTTATTTAAATCGAATTTTAAGAGAAAAGATAAACGACAGATTTTTAAATTATAGAGTATTGACTTTTATTCAAGTATTTTGATCAAAGAATAAATAGAAATAAAATTGAAAAAAAAATCTTTTACTTTTAACGGCTTAAAGTTTTACATAAAAAAACAGTATTTGTAAATTTTTTTTGAAAAAAGGTAAAATAATTTTTTTCCAGGTAAATAGTGTGATATGAAATCGAAGAGTTTTGAAACCTCTTCTTTTTTTTTCTTTCTTCAAATGCAATAGGGCTTCATTTTTTCTTTTTAAGTTGTTTTCTTTATAGCTACATAATGTTTTCGAGTTCAAGAGATTTTAATTAGATTATAATGTATTACGATTATTTGTGTTGTCATTATTATTAGAATATTTGTTGTTGTAATAATTGTAATAATTATAATAATAATAATTGTTATTGTCATTATTATTACTAAAAGTCCTTTAAATTGACACAACCCAAAAATATTAATAAGACTTTTTATCTGCTTTATCACAAGTTAGATTTTAGGCACATTTTTTTTTTAAATCATGTTTACAATAATTTCAATAAACTGCTTACATAAGGTAAACAAAACTAAGTAGAAAAATAACATAAAAAGATAAAAAGACCAGAAAGATTTTTTTTCCAATTTTTACCAGAACTTTGAATTCCTAGACCTTTAAAATATTGAAAATTTCTAGATATTATAGAGAGAAAAAAGAATTTGAAGAAAGATGAATTATTTCAAAGAATGAAATCTAAAAAATGGGTTTTAATACTCTTAAATTTTTGTATATATTTTCTATTTTTTTTTAAAGTTCCTAAACATTTTATTTGCTTCAAAATCCCAAAAATGAACAAATTCGTATTTTGTAAATTGTTCTTTCGAAACCCTTGTAAAAAAACACAAACATAAATCCAATGTTATTTTCTATGGTCCAACAAACAAAAAATAATACAACCAATTTAATTAACATACAAGTCTAGATAATTTTGACCAGTAATAAAATAGGTTAACATTGTCTACATATGTAGAAATAAACTAAATTTGTTGATATTATTATAATAGTGTAAAAGTATTACTGAGGATGTCATCACTAAACAAATCATACCTTCCAAAGTTTTTTTAACCATTTTAAATAATCTCATAGGGTTTTAGTTAAAACCACTGATTTAATTATGTGTATTTTTTTCTTAGAAACATGATGGAGAAACGAATATTAAAAAAGAAAAATTAAATAGTTAGAAAGTTTTTCTTAATTAGTAATTTTTATATTCAAATCATTATTTCCGAGTACTTTCCTATTTAAAATTACTTCACATTTTGAAAAAGTTTTGAAAAAAGATTTTTTTAAATGTTTTAGTACATAAGTACGTACGCTTTTGTTTCGAACCTCCTCGCCCCACCCTGCATTTTGCCATACGCTTTTGATACGATACGATATTGATACGATATTGTGGCTGGATAGTTCATATTTTGAGTACCCTCCAACTCCCCTACAAGTACCTACGCTTTTAACCTAACTATTTAACATTTTATGTTATTTTTTTAATTTAGTGTCTCCTTAATTTTATATTTGACACACTGCCCCCCCCCCCCCATCTCATATACGCCATTTGCTGACCTCTTCTTCCCCTCCGAGCGTACGTACTTTATGGACGATTCCTTATTTCTTTGTTATTTTATTTTAACGTTTTTAATTAAATTAGGTTTTCAGTATTTTGTAATTATTTATTTTTTTATCCTAAAGTTTTGTATTTAGTTTTATATCAAGCTTTTCTAATATTTTAACTTGAGTTTTTATTTATTTTAAAATAACTTGTGTGTATATTTTAATTATTTTATTTAAAGGTTTTTTTATAAATTTGTAGCACGAGTATTATTTATGTAAACTATTTATATTATATAACTATTTATATTGGTTTTATTTACATATATTCTTTTACTATATTTTTAAGGTTGTTTATTTGTTTTATTTTATTATTTTGTTTTTCTATTACGCATTTATAGTTAGTCGGTTATTTTTCGATTAGCAATAATTTTGATCCTTAAAGTGTCTTTTTTTTTGTATTTCCTTACTTATATAAACTTGCTTTTCAAATTTTAAAATTTGGTTATAAATTTGGTATAATATATTTTAAAATTGGTTAAATTTGGTATAAACTTGCTTTTCAAATTTTTAAATTTGGTTCATACTTGATGTCTTTATTGATTTAAGTTTTTGATGCAGCCAATCATCAAGTCCTTATATTTAAACTCAAAAGTTATACTTTAAAAAATACTAACTTGTCCTGGTTTAGGAGTTATTTAACTCCTAAAGATGAAACAATTTATTATAAGAGGGGAAAAAAACAGATTATCAGACAACGATCTGTGGTGTTTCTCAACGATCGATTTTTAGACCACTTTTCTTATTTAAAAGATTTAAATTAGTTTTTTACAATAATGTTTTGTTTGCAGATGATACCAATTTCCGAACTTCCGATCTTTTTAAAGATGAATTAACAAAAAAAGAGCAATTAATGACATTTTTAGGTGTGATTATTGATGAAATGTAATCTGTAGGTACTACAAAGGTACAATTAAAGATAAAGTATAACGATACATACGTATATTGTAAAAAGTTAAGAATTTATTAAATCCATTTTATTTGAATGACACCTTTTTTTTATTCATTACCGATATATTAAATATAGAAATAAAAAAAAGTTTTAATGTTGATATTACACTAGTAAACAGACAAGGTCCGCAATTGTGTGAGGAACAGTGGTGTACGACTCGCTCGTTTTCTTGTAATTTAGCGAACGGGGATTCTGGGATGTCTAGTACAGCCAGATTTATAAACAATAATATTTACATAAAGATGTTTTGGCAGATTTGTTAAGAATAATGCTTTTGAAAAAATGGATTAACTTATTTTAAACAAAAATGCTTGAAAAAAATAAAGTAGTAATTTTTGTTTACTTAAAAATCAAATGTTTTATTTTAAAAAAGATAAAATATATATGCATAGCTTTTTATGGCATTTTTAATGCTTGTAATTTTGTTGTATTTTGAATCATAAAAACAACATTCAATGTTATTTTTATTGTTCAAAATATATAAAAATACAAACATTAAAAATGCCATAAAGTGCTCTTTTTATACTTATATATTCCAAATGTTTTCAAAATATTACATTGTTATACTGTTTACAAACAATGTTACATTGTTTAACAAAGTAAGCCTATTACTAATAGGTTTACTAATTGTATTAGTTATATGAAAATGTTGTTTTTTTTTAAACATGTACGTTTTAATTCTTAACTACCCTCTGCAGTATGCTAGAAGTTTTTTAATTTAACTGCATGGTAGACAGCAATTCAGGGTTTTATTTAAATTAAAAGCATTTTTTTGACAACACTAAGGTTCAACTATATTCAAGTTTTGTAAAAGTTTCAATATTTAGAGATCTTTTTTACTTCCCCAAAATTATACAACTGCTGTATAAATTGTTTATTGAGTTCTGTTAGTATAAAACAATTCAAACGTTCCTTCTAGTGTTAGTATGCTTTCAATATTGTTTTTTATATTTTTATAAATGTTCTTTTATTTTCCGCATCTTGAATATGAAATTAAAATTGTTAAGTATATCAAAAACTAGTAATTTCAATTTATCTCATTTTAAATAAATAGACAAACATTTTTCAACTAAACATAATAATTTACTATTTTTGAATAATACAAGCAATTTTTATAATATTGGAGCTATGTCAATATTGCAAAAGTTGACGTAATAATAAATCGGTATATCAACAAAGTAGTCTATCAAATATGATAAATTTTTTGATCGAAGATTATATAGAAAAGTATAATTGCAGTCGTCCTAAAAAACTTTAAAGACTCTTGGCTTATTTTTGCCTACAATTATTTTATTAATATTTTCACCTAAAATAAAAAATTATGCATACATATATTTATACAAAATGATGTATTTAATTATGTATGTATATATATATATATATATATATATATATATATATATATATATATATATATATATATATATATATATATATACATATATATATATATATATATATATATATATATATATATATATATATATATATATATATATATATATATATATATATATATATATATATAAAGTGGATCCTTAAATATAACCTGTGGTGTTCCACAAGGTTCTATTCTTGGACCGCTGCTATTTCTTATATATGTCAATGATCTAAAAAAAGCCTCTAACCTGATGAGTATTATTTATGCCGATGACACTAACTTATTTCAATCCCACACTGATGTTTACAAACTTTTCTCAAAAACTAATAATGAACTTATAAACATTTGTAAATGGTTTAAATGTAATAAATTAACGTTAAAAACTAATAAGACTAAATGGATTCTTTTTCATTCCTTCTCAAAAAAACGTTCTTTACCAGATATAATGCCTCAAATTTATATTGATGAAACTCTAATAAAAAGAGATTCTGTTATAAGATTTCTAGGTGTTTATCTTGATGAGAATATTACTTGGAAAAACCATATTAATCATATAACCATCAAGGTATCTAAAAATATTGGCATTTTGTATAAAGCCCGACCTTACTTAAGCAAAAAAAGCTTTACGCAGCTCTATTACTCATTTTTACACAGCTATATAAACTATGCAAATATTGCATGGGGTAGTACCGAAAAAAGTAAACTACAACGTCTATATCGCCAACAGAAACATGCGATTCGCGTGATTAATTATGTGGATCGCTCTACACATTCAAAGTCTTTCTTTGATGAAATGAAAATACTTAATGTCTACAAACTTAACGTTTTTAATGTTTTACTTATATGTGGAAAAACAATTTATCCCTACCTGTTTTTAACGAACTTTTTACATTAAAACTTACTAATAAGTACTCACTAAGAAATAAAGATTTGCTAAATGAACCATTTTGTAGAACAAATTTTAATAAATTTTGTATTAATTATAGAGCACCTTACCTTTGGACTAAAATAGTTCTGCCTAATTTTGTTTTGGGATTTATATTTTCAGTTTTTATAGTATGATAAAATTGTAGAGGTTCTGATGATAAGATCAGTTAATCTTTTTTCAGAAGAAATATATATATATATATATATATAATATATATATATATATATATATATATATATACATGTATATATATATATATATTATATATATATATATATATATATATATATATATATATATATATATATATATATATATATATATATATATATATATATATATATATATATCAGTACTCTGTACTATATTTAGCCAATTTAAATTAAATGAAAAAAAAAATAAATTAAAATTGATTGAATCATACAATAACAAAGTAAAAATAGTAATTTTGCAATACTATTTTATTGTTTATGTTTACAATCTGGCTGTACTACACATCCCAGAAGCCTTTGCGTTAGCTATTGCAAGAATTTATTGCAAATTTTGCCGAGTAGTACCCCACTGGTGGAGAAGTTAAAATAAATTCGCATTATTATAAGTCGAATTTGATACACGTTCTATAAGAAAGTACAACAATATAATACTTGATAAAGAAATGTTTTTAATACATTATAAATTTAAATATATTTTTATATATCAATTGGTAATTAATAAAAAAGTTCTTCAAAAAATTATATTTTGGGACATGCATGCTTGTTTTGCGAGTTTTGGTAAGGTAAAATCCGACAAAAATAGTTTGTTCTATTTTCCAAAATTGATTTGCTAAGTTTTGCAGAAGGAAACTTGGTCTTAAGGACCAGGAGACAGACAAGTCAGCATTTATAAAGAAAAACGCACAACGATCGACAAAAAATCAAGAATGCTTTAAGAAGTATACAAGACATAAAAAGGTTCAAAAGGTATCTTATTTTCGAATGACTGGTCCGAAAATTAAAAAAAAACGCAGCAAAATAACTCCTGGATTTTTTGTCTATTATTTATTGCGGAAAACTATAACCGGTAATAAAAAGTGGATTTATGATAAAAAAATCTAATCAACAAAAAAAAGTGGTTAACATTATCGAAACCCGATATTAATGAAAAAAAAGTAATTCTTTGTAAGTATTGTAAGTGTGCGAATGTGTATATAAATTTATATATATTCGTTTTTACTTTTATCTTGTCTATTAATGATATTATGTATCAAACGACATCTTATTTTATTTTTAATATTCTTGTAAACATTTATTCATTTTTTCTTATATACTATATATTCTTCAATAACTTTGTAAAAATTATAAATTGTAACGCGGTACTCGGCGATAAGGCAAATTAATGCTTTCTACTTGGTAAACTTAATTGTAAATTTATGTAAACTGTAATACTTATTAAACGGCAAAATATAATGTTAAAAAAAAATTATATTAACGGCTTGATAAATAAAAAAGGCATGAGTTGCATCATACTATGAATTGCGTCATAAACCAAAGCAAACTATTAATGCTCAATGGTATTTTAATGGTAATTGATCAGCAGTAATTATTATATCGAGAAGATAGG